ACTTCTGGACCGACTCAAAAGTGCCATTTCCGTTGGTGTAGCAAACAAATTATATAGGTACAGACGAACCTAAACACTTCCATAAATTTAAAAAGTAAAACATGTACCTTTTGGGTAATTCTTAGTTACTTTAAAATTTGTATTAATATTTTAACCAGGGACCGAAAATAATTATTATTTTTATTTTTTCAAACAAAAAAATCGGCCACTTATAATAGGCCTAAAAAAAAATGATTTTCACCCAAATAATTATCTTTGTCCAATCTATGCATTCCCGCCATGATTTTTAATTTTTTGATTTTTATCTTTTTGTTCAATGGTAATCTTTATTTTTGATCAAAAAAAATAGGACTCAAAAATAATTTTTATTGATGATTTTTATTTTTTTGCTCAAAATAAAACTCAAAACAGCCTCGCGTGCTTCCTGTAAGACTTTTCGCCAATCTGATTTCACAGCCGTCTAAAGGCTTATCAAAGCAACCTCCACGATTTTTTGCAAATTTTTTAACCACTTTGTAAAAATAACTTATCCTATGATTTTTATTTTATTCCGATCAAAATAAAACTCATAACAGCCTCGCGGTCCTCCTGTAAGACTTTTCGCCGATCTGATTTCACAGCCGTTCAAAAGGTTATTAAAACTACCCCCACGATTTTTTGCAAATTTTTTTAACCACTTTTAAAAAATAACTTGTCCTATGAGTTTTATTTTATTCCAATCAAAATAAAAAAATTTGCAAAAAATCGTGGGGGTAGTTTTAATAACTATTTGAACGGCTGTGAAATCAGATTGGAGAAAAGTCTTACAGAAGGACCGCGAGGCTGTTATGAGTTATATTTTGATTGGAATAAAATACAAATCATGGGATAAGCCATTTTTTTAAAAGTGGTTAAAAAAATTTGCAAAAAATCGTGGAGGTAGTTTTAATAGCCTCTTAAACGGCTGTGAAATCAGATTGGAGAAAAGTCTTACAGGAGGCCCGCGAGGCTGTTTTGAGTTTTATTTTGAGCAAAAAAATAAAAATCATCAATAAAAATTATTTTTGAGTCCTATTTTTTTGATCAAAAATAATTATTATGCTCTAAGTAAAATATAAAAATTGAATTTTAATCATTACAAAGTAATTTTTATTATTTAACTTATAATGATTACGGTCCCTGATTTTAACAGTAATTACAAAGGGCATAGCAGACTTACCTAGGGAAAACGGCCCCCAGCGATTTTTAAAAATTTTGAATCAGCGATGGTAGATAATTAGAAGGAGAATATGGAAACCAATTTTCAAAGCTATTGGACATTTGGCTGAGGAGTAATCGTCTGCAATCCAAAAATGTATTTAAGCTTATATCTGACCAACGGAAACGCTTAACTGAAAATTTGTGATGACAAATCAAAGGGATAAGAAATAGATCCTCGCTAAAAGTACAGAAAACCGCGATTAAAATTTTCAAAAAATGTTTGACCACTTTCAAGTTTTGGCAACCTAACCAATTTTTTACAGTTTCTGTGTCCTTTAACCATTGAATTAATAAAAAAAATCATAATTTTATAGGTGGTGCAACAGTGTCAAAGAAAGGAAAAACTAGATTTCAAGTAGTTTTGTGGGACGTTTTCTACAACCCGGCCACCCCAGTTTTTTTTTTAAGTTTTTAAAGTGCACAGTACCAACTTGATTGCAAAACACATTGCTTCCAATATTTATTCTCACACCTATTTTTGCACTATCATCACTCTTTTGCCGTATTTTGGCGTTAGAAAGAAAACACGAAATCAATTTTATCTTTTGAGCAGAAAGCACGATTTGCATAATTCAAAAGCAGAAATATCTGTCTTTTCATGGCCGATTACGAGATAAAAAAATAATGCTTTCAGACCATAGATGTCCATAGATGTTCAGACAATTTTTTAAGTCCAAAAGTAGGATTTCAGCCAATAGGTAAGTTTAAAAAATACCATTCTATCCCAATTTAATGTGGGATCTCCGTTGAGGAATTCGCTATGAATTCTTTTCATTGACCTATTACTTTTTTCCAAAGCATATACAATTTTGTGTATTACATATTAAAAGCCTACTTTTGGACTTAAAAAATGGTATCGCTGGGTCATCAATGGTCTGAAAGCATTATTTTTTTATCTCGTAATCGGCCATGAAAAGACAGATATTTCTGCTTTTGAATTATGCAAATCGTGCTTTCTGCTCGAAAGATAAAATTGATTTCGTGTTTTCTTTCTAACGCCAAAATACGGCAAAAGAGTGATGATAGTGCAAAAATAGGTGTGAGAATAAATATTGGAAGCAATGTGTTTTGCAATCAAGTTGGTACTGTGCACTTTAAAAACTTAAAAAAAAAACTGGGGTGGCCGGGTTGTAGAAAACGTCCCACAAAACTACTTGAAATCTAGTTTTTCCTTTCTTTGACACTGTTGCACCACCTATAAAATTATGATTTTTTTTATTAATTCAATGGTTAAAAGACACAGGAGCTGCAAAAAATTGGTGAGGTTGCCAAAACTTGAAAGTGGTCAAAATTTTTTTTGAAAATTTTAATCGCGGTTTTCTGCACTTTTAAAAAGTCTTAAAAATGCCAAGCTTCTTTAGCGAGGACCTATTTCTTATCCCTTTGATTTCTCATCACTAATTTTCAGTTAAGCGTTTCCGTTGGTCAGATATAAGCTTAAATACATTTTTGGATTGCAGACGATTACTCCTCAGCCAAATGTCCAATAGCTTTGAAAATTGGTTTCCATATTCTCCTTCTAATTATCTACCATCGCTGATTCAAAATTTTTAAAAATCGCTGGGGGCCGTTTTCCTTAGGTAAGTCTGCTATGCCCTTTTGTTCAAATTTTGAAATATATTTAAAATAGTAACAAAACAATTTTTTCAATTTCTTAACTCAACTGGTAACTTAATTTTCCTCACTAGCGATCTTTGACTGTACGAGGTATAATAATTTGCCGCATCTAATATCGCAATTGGGAGTGTTGTGAGAAGGAGTCGTTGGTCGAAAAGCACGCGGTTCGTTGGCTTTAAGAGTGTATCACAAGCAATTATGAACGTTGACCTTCTGGCAAAAAAAAAAGTTTCCACTACCCGAAAAAGGTGAAAGAACATACACACACTCGCTCGGCCGGAGACCCCAAAATGAAGGTAACAAAGACATTAGCAGAGACTGCGAAATGTGGAGAAAACCTAATGACAGCTGGGGGGACACACAAAACAACCCAAGAAGCCGAGAGCCAAGAACACCAAGATGAAAATGCGCCAGGCCAGAAGAACAAAAAAAGTTCTCAAAAGCAAACAGGCAAAGGAGAGGCAGATAATAATAAAGAAGGCGCGCGCTGTCGAGTGCAAAACAAAGCGAATTTTTGGCCAACAGCGCAGACACAAAAGACTCTTCGCCGGAGTCACGGGGTCTAAAGCACATACATATACTATATATACTATACATACATAGATGTGGGTACTATAACCTGGTCGCTGACTTTGGCTCTTTTTGAAAGTTGAAATGCTTGCCTAGGTAGAGCCAATAAACGAGTTTGAAACAAAAGAACAGAAACAGACGCTTAGCTAACCTATCTACCACCCCCCAAACCCCCGTCCCCCGTTCCCCATTCCCCCTCTCTGACCTCACCACCCCCTTTTTCGTATTTTTTTTTGCGCGTGTGAAGATCGCGAACTGTGGGCGCTTGGGGAACGAAATGGTAACTGGAACAGCCGCTCCGGCATTGAACCGAGCCGAGAAGAAAACCAGAAAAGAAGGCTTTATAGCTCCGGGGACCAATTATCCTCCTCCTTCTTCTCGCAGGTCAATCATTCCACAGCCAGCATGATCCGATATGGATCCCTCATAAATTTCAACTTGAATCACGTTTAGAATCAATTTAATAATTAATAAAGAACACGTTTTCGAAGAATTTTACCTAATCTTTAGTATAGACATCCTTATTTTTAAGGAATGGCAGATTCAAAATCGATGATCCTTTTGAAATGAATGCAACGGAAATTCAAAATTAACCAATATTTAACTATCTATAGATTTGTTTGTACTTGTTTTACTTGTGAGCTAGAAATGTATTCTATTAAACTTATCCTTAATTATATTTAACAAATTTTGATTGCGACTGTAATAAATTTAATGAAACTTTTATTTTCATAAGATTTTTTCAAGAACTCATAATCTTTTCTCATTAATACTATCAAAATTCACTTTATGGCAATGCCTATCAATTTTCTACCTGTTAAATCGTTTATTTAATATTCTTAGGTCAAGAAAATCAATGTCAAGAAAATCAAAGATCTACCGAAGTTTAAAACTTCCTCTATAAGACCCTTTAAAAATTTAAATCTTAGTTCAGCGGGGGTTCTTGTGACAAAGGTAGACTTTTATGCCTCATCCTCATTAGGAGACATTCACCCACCTACCTCCCAATTTCATTAAACCACTCGACCTGAGAAATTGCCCAAAAAGTGACAGTTAAAGCCGGTCATAATTAACAGCGTTCATCAATTACATCACAACCGCCCACATACATAGGAAATCCCACCTTTGGCAACAGACCGCAGTGACAAAGCTCTTAAATGAGGCCTCCTCCACCCAACGATCACCTCCCATAAACTCCCACCCAACATCCCCCGCAGGGAAGCTCCTTTTTTTTTTGTGTACAGTGCATAATTAACGTAAAGTGTTTCGCAGGGCAAACCAAATATAAAAAGAGGGGGAGAAAGTACAAGAGATCCAAAGGACATGTTAGAAATAATGCGTGTACTCAAGGGCTTTTATACCCTAGCAAATGGCTTCATTATCTGGCCAACAAGTTGGCTGTCAAATAAAGAAAGCAATTTTTATTATAATTATAAATTGACATCGTATAAGCAACACACGTAGTGTATGGAAAATTAAGATTTATTATAAGTCCACTGTTTTAATTGCCTATTAACTATAATACAAATATAAGACATCTATTAAAACATGATTAATTTTGTATTTATTTATAGAAGAACCTGTTAAACTTGACCTGAGGTCGGAATCATAGGGCTGTCATTAAAAATATTGTGAGGTAAGTTTTGGAAAATATAACTTGTTTAAGAACTTTTAATCGTTAAATTGGTTTATGCTGCTTAAGGGTGTTCAAGGTTTCGTTCTGGTCTATCATTTGGCTTTTTTTTTCCATCCGCATAGACAATAAATCTATCTTGAGACCGCTTTGGGATATCCCTCTCTCTTTTTCTCCGTGTCCTTCGTACTAGAAACCCAATACCTGCCAGCATGTGAAGAGAAGCTCAATGGAGTGAGTTATGATGGGTACGGACGTTGGCTTATTCATCATATCTCACGTACGCGTCTGATGTCTGGAGTAGCTCCTCTTCTTCTCATTTGTATGCCATGCGGGTCCCCGTTAGAGGGAGTCAGAGGTATAGAGCGAAAGAGATGGTGTACGATATAGGACCCCACATATCGAATGCGAAACATGTGCTAATGCTGTTATTATTTATCTTATTATACTCGAAAACTTAAAGGGTATATTGGATTCGTGGAAATGTATATAACACGGTTAAAAAGATTCTTAACCTGCAATATGGAAATTTTTATTTTAGGAAAAATTAATTAATACCTCGAACTATAGTTTTTCGATCTTATATTTTGTACAATGCTTGTATGAACTGACTACAGGATATTTCCTTGGTCGAGACCCTTGAATTATACCGTTCTAACTTGTTGTTTCAACTTCCGCCCAAATGTAGTGGTATAAGTGATATATTTCACCACAGGACATTTATCAAGAGATTTGGTTGATGGAAACACAGATTTTATTTCATTTTTTGTTGTATTAATGCCAAATTTGGTGTTGCTGTGCGAGAGCAACAAGTTTGCTCGTTTTTGTGTGTGTATTTTTGCCTATTCATGGTCCGCAGGTCGCTTGGTTAGTTGGTTTATTGACATCGCCGTTCTGCCGCGTCGACGTCAACGTTAGCCACACACTTTTTTCAAGTTCGTGAATTTTTTAGCCGTTCGTTGACTTTTGCCGCTGTTGTGTTTCTATGTCTGTTAACGTTTTATTTATTATGTCCAAACTAATGTCATTTTAAGGCTGTTTTTGTATTTGAGGCTCCATCTCTCTTTTTTCGGTCTCAGTTTCGCCATTCGATTCTAGTTAAAAAGTCTCTCGCCCCTTCGCAACAATATTTTCGCAACATTTTGACCAAATCGTGAACTTTCCGAGAATCGCAAAAAGAGAAGGAAAAACAAAAAACTGGGGAACAGTATGAAAAAAAGCTCAAATATAAGTTCGGATTTCAACAAGCTGATTGAAATTTCCTGAGGGGGCGTCTTCTTTGCTTATTAGTTTAATGCGAATTATGAGGTCAGTGCAGAAACAAACAAAAAGACAAAAAAAAAACACATTCACAGCGGGAAGACACCGAAGAAGAAAGAAGACTACAGAAGAGAGTTCAATGAAGTGCCCTCATTAGCTTTAATGTAACGGGATATGGTGGGCGTTGAAAACCGAGAACGATCGGCCTCGAACCTTTAATAGTGTCCGAAAAACAGATCCCCAACTACAAATATGCGGGCCAAGTGGGTAAAGTTACGTACTCCTCTCTAAAAAACTTAAATTGGAAAAAATGGTCTTTCATAGGATTCTTATTCATAGCATTTTGTTGTCCCCCCAATCTTATAATTTTTGTCTTCTCATATTCTATTCCTATTCTGTATTGGCTAAAGAATGATATTATATAACTTTAACAAAGAGCGTTTAGACGTAAAGACAAAAAACAATTTCAAGGTATTTGTATTTCTAGTACCTAATTATTTTTTTTATTTTTTTTTTTTTTTTTTTTGTTAACAAATTGTGTCTACAATAATATTATATTTAAGGTGTCCTTATATCATTTAGTGATTTTCCAAAGGACATATTCTAAATTCAATAAGGAGAAAAAAAAACGAAATGTTTTTAAATTTTAGTACCCTCAAGATCAATTCACTTCGGTCATAATGCAGTTTATTTTAATAAATTAGTTTGATTTAATTCGTTTTATATATAAATTAAAAAATCTTTCGCCCTGAATCAATGCTTTTATCTAGGTTCTAAAAGGCACGATGAACATCTGATAACCATGTTTCTCTTCAAATCGCAGTTTCTTTCTCGGTTAAGAGGCTTTCCATTATGCCATGCATAAATCGCTCGTGTTCCGGAACCGAAAGGTGTAACTAACTGTTTATAATACCAACGCGCAGATCCATTAGTGACATAAGAACTACTGACAAACTGACAAATGTGATCATAGATGAGAAGAGAGCGTGCAACACTTTCAGAATTTCCTCCACTTCCTGCTTGTAAGAGAGGCTCGATCGAATGATTGGATGTATTGTACATATAGGAGCTCTTAAAACACGGCTTCACCTGGCTTTCAAGAGAGTGAGAGGGATGGCGAGCGAACGAGGAAAAGAGAGGGAGCGACAGCTGCATCGCCTGCTGCTGCTAATTTCCGGTTTCAAGTGTCACATTTTGTTCCAGCCCAACGTCTTTCCCAAAAATTATTGAAAGAGCCATAACAAATATGTGATCGTTGTATTTTATATGGTTTATGGGTTGGGTTTTCCCCCTCCGATCAAAGGGAAACATCTGGCAGCGGTAGTTGTTGTTGTTGGTTGTGTGTGACAGCTGCTAAAGGGATCGCTCGTTCGCCATCCCCCTCCCTCATTTCATTTTTTTGTTTCGGACCTCTCACTCTTGCCCATGGAAATTATTAGCCTGGCTGGGTTATTGAAACGCGCTCGATTGAATTGTCTGTCAATATGGCAATAAAACAGTTGAGGCTGAGGTCGGTCGGCTAATGAACGTTGCCGTGTCGGGGTCTAACCCAAATGCCCCGTCCATCGGTGGAAGGGTATAGCACTCGGAATTTCTTTCACTCACTCTACATATTTCAGATGTCAACACATTTTCATAAAAATCAAAATATCGTAATGAGTTTTTTTAAAGGAAATATTGTAAAAAAAAACAAGAAAGGAAGCTAGCTTCGGCCAGCCGAAGCTTATATACCCTTGCAGATAATTCCTATTAATTTACAAATCGCAAAAATGTTAATTTTCCTATTATTTCTCATTAATTTTGCGTTCGTTTCAATGGCAGCTATATGATATAGTAGTTCGATTTTGATAAAATTAAAATCGAAATTCGAAAATATTTGAAAAGAGTTATATCCTAGAGTAGAAGAGAATACAATAAAAACCAACGAAGCAATAATTTATTTCCTATTATATTCCCATTAATTTTCCGATCGTTCCTATGGCAGCTATATGATATAGTCGTCCGATTTAAAAAAAATTTTATTCGAAATTCAGAATTAGATAAAAAATGACATTTCCAAAAGTAGAATGTTATAGGTTCAAAAACACCCAAAATATAATTTTTTTTAAATTTTTTTTTCTTGATTGTGTCTATGAGAGCTATATGATATAGTTGTCCGATCCGGCTCGTTCCGACTTATATACTACCTGCAATAGAAAGAAGACTTTTGGGAAAGTTGTATCCCGATAGCTTGAAAACTGAGAGACTAGTTTGCGTAGAAACGGACGGACAGACGGACAGACGGACGGACAGACGGACATGGCTAGATCGACTCGTCTAGTGATGCTGATCAAGAATATATATACTTTATGGGGTCGGAAACGTCTCCTTCACTGCGTTGCAAACTTCTGACTGAAATCACAATACCCTCTGCAAGGGTATAAAAATAAAAAAAAAGTAAATAAAAAAAATATATGGTTATCAAATCATTAGATTTGGAAGTTACCAAGATAGTTAATTATGCTCCTAAAGACTCTTTAAATGGAACCTTATCACCTGCAAAGGGACCAAAATAAAATATTAACAATAGAAATGCAAGATTTTCAGGCTGTTTGTTGTATAAAAACTTTTAATAATATATTATTATATAGCTTTTATGACTTCACAATTCTTAAGTTTGTATTGTTTTAGACGTTAAATACAAATTTGTCATTAAATAATGTAGGCCCAAAACTACAAGCCCCAAAGCTTTTATGTCTTACATGTGCTTGTTTGTTAAAATGCCTCTTAAATACTGGTACTATTCTGTATTTTTATGGTTGGTTCTTTCTTGTTGCTTCTTCTTGTGGCAGATGTATTCCAGTTTGCGAAGTTCGACTGTATTTCAGGCCGTAGCGAAAATATTTCAACGCTTGGCGTAATTGTTTTTTCTTTGCCATTGGCGGCTGGCTCTTTTTTTTTTGTGCTGTTTTGTATTTGCTGGATTTTTTGCGGCCGTATCTTTTTTGCTACTTTAAGCACGTCGTTCGTCAGAGGAGTAAAGTCGAAGGTTCATGAACCGCCGGCAAGGACAAAAGTTGTGGCTCTGTCGACGGGACAGAGACGGCTATACATATGGACATATCGATCACATAGGGAGGCTGAAAACGGAACAGATATTTGTGCCTGTGGCCGTACCATATCCCACTATTCCACTTGTTTCCCTGCAGCAGCAGCAGCATTATCTTCCCATCCCAGAAAGCCACTTGAACCCATCAATTCGTGGAATTCAGGCGGGATAAACAAGCATGAATACAAAAAAGGAAGGAAGGTAGTATTCGTTTATCGAAGTTTTCAAATACCCTGGAGAATTCATATATTTAGATCTTCTTTGCAAAATTATTCAGCAATATACCACAGTGTGATTATGATGGTTATATGTAACACATATCGTTTTTGAAAAAATCCATAATATTGTAATTTATTTTGAATGTGGGATAACATCTTTTGTTTTAGAATCTTTTTGTACTACCTGCAAAGGTAGATACCAATAGGTATCCATATTTACATTCTAGAATCTAAATGATACAAACTCTGAACACCTAGAATGGTGATAGAAAAACCAATGTACAAAAATCCGTGGGTCGGTGCGTTAGTCACGCAGCCTCACGAGCGTTACGATACGATAGCATCGCAATTGGCGCACAAGAAATCACTGACCTTGACTTTAAACAAAGTTTAAGGCCCTTTGTAGCCGACAGTATATAGAGGTGTATTTCATTGTA